GGATAGTGAAATCATGGGTATAAATGGGATAGTGAAATCATGGGTATAAATGGGATAGTGAAATCATGGGTATAAATGGGATAGTGAAATCATGAGTATAAATGGGATAGTGAAATCATGAGTATAAATGGGATAGGGAAATCATGAGTATAAATGGGATAGTGAAATCATGAGTATAAATGGGATAGGGAAATCATGAGTATAAATGGGATAGTGAAATCATGGGTATAAATGGGATAGTGAAATCATGAGTATAAATGGGATAGTGAAATCATGGGTATAAATGGGATAGTGAAATCATGAGTATAAATGGGATAGTGAAATCATGAGTATAAATGGGATAGGGAAATCATGAGTATAAATGGGATAGTGAAATCATGGGTATAAATGGGATAGTGAAATCATGAGTATAAATGGGATCGTGAAATCATGGATATAAATGGGATAGTGAAATCATGGGTATAAATGGGATCGTGAAATCATGGGTATAGATGGGATAGGGAAATCATGGGTATAAATGGGATAGTGAAATCATGAGTATAAATGGGATCGTGAAATCATGGATATAAATGGGATAGTGAAATCATGGGTATAAATGGGATCGTGAAATCATGGGTATAGATGGGATAGGGAAATCATGGGTGGAGATGGGATAGTAAAATCATGAGTGTTGATGTGATATTGAAGTAGATTGAATAGTAAAATCATGAGTGGAGATGGGAGAGTGAAGTAGATGGGAAAGTGAATTCATGGGTGTAGATGGGATAGTGAAATCATGTGTGTAGGGGGGATAGTAAAATTTTGGATGTAGACAAAAAATTTGAAAAATGTTATGGCCAGCGTTTAATAAAATACATCTATTTCTCGCTGAATTTTTCGTTTAGAAAGTTGTTTATAATACTTTAGTAACTTGCTACTTGAATGATTTACCGTTAGCTTTACTGGCGACATAAGTTATCCCATGTCATCTGATGACACGGCCATTATCTGAACAATAAAACCTTCAATTATACACTTGGCCTTCACATTCCGTAACCATAGCAGGAAAAACGAAACTAGAACCTGGCACGCCACAAAGCTGAGAGACGTGACGGTACTGGTACTAAAGGACACGAGTGGCCAAAGTCTGGTAAAGTGACGGTACTGGTACTAAAGGACACGAGTGGCCAAAGTCTGGTAAAGTGACGGTACTGGTACTAAAGGACACGAGTGGCCAAAGTCTGGTAAAGTGACGGTACTGGTACTAAACGAGACGAGTGGCCAAAATTGGTAAAGTGACGGTACTGGTACTAAAGGACACGAGTGGCCAAAGTCTGGTAAAGTGACGGTACTAGTACTAAAGGACACGAGTGGCCAAAGTCTGGTAAAGTGACGGTACTGGTACTAAACGACACGAGTGGCCAAAGTCTGGTAAAGCGCTTCACGGGGCTGGATAATTAGGACAAGTGATCAGGTGGAAACAACACAATTTGAAAGCAACAAAGTATGGAGAAAAAACAACAGACTTTAATTAATTTAATTAATTAAAATAATGTTCTGCCACGGCACTATTTTTGTTCCCAATCAAAGAAGATCTAGGCCAAAACAACAGTTGTTTTGTTAATTCTCTTTTATTTAATGTGTCCAAGAATTAATTGTATAGAGAATTACCCGCCCTTCATTTCTAGACAAACGATAATGGAGTCTGGAATGCCGCAGCTTTGGTTATCTTGAAGAGAAAAACGCTTGCAGCGCATAAAGCAATAAGGAGCAAGTACATTAAAATATTAGGTCCGCCTGATCTGGTTTTAAAAAATCGTGACGAATGAAACAGCTGGAATATACAGTTCCACTGAGGTAAGTATCCAGAGAACGTCTAACAATCAATAGACTATATCGGACAGCGTTAGAGAGACACGAGCATTTAAGGTCTCACTATAAATACATCAGGCACCGTAGCTCGAGGACATATTTATTTGATCGCACCCACGATCCGCCCTGTATGAGGACAATCAACACACGATAAAACCCCGTGTATGGCGTGTAGAAGATGGCCTGTGTCGTGGTTACACCGTGGGCCCCTAATCTTTTAATTATATACCGCGCTGTGCATAAACGCTCATTCATATGTTGAATTCGGGGAACTTCATAGATTCTATCATGTTCGCTCCGTGACTTTAGTAGAGCTAATTGACTGTTCTGATGAGTACATTCGAGTTCAACCATAACCAATAAGTACTCTGCTACTCAATGAACTAGTACACCAAGTTCTAATGGGTACATGTCTAAATCTTTGTCGTCGTACAACATTTATAAACCCAACCCGCTCTAAAACAAAATGCTTCTAGCCTTTATTCAAACATAAACTATGATATATGTACCACTAATCTAAATGACCCATCGTAGCCATTGCCACAAAACACGAGCCCGTGCGACAAGTCGCAGTTACCAGCAGTAAGGGGGGGGGGGGGGGAGATTGCATTAAGACGGGGAATCTGGTGTTGACTGGCAGCACCACCTGAAGGAATGTCTCCCACACGCGAATCAATACGATGGCGAGCGGGTAACGTGAGACACGACAGTTCCAGGTGTGCTATTGACTTATGAGATGGCCCGGAACTTATTGGCTGCTGAGTTCTTCTTGTGTAGATTTCTATTTACAAGACATGGGGGCATCCTTATCTAGAGTGATTGCTATGTATTTTCCCACGTTTTCTTTAACTTGCTTTCTCTGTTTGTTTATTTGTTTGTCTTTCCAATCAAATCTTGCGATCGAAATTTCTGGCACTTCCCAGTTAGCTAGCGCGCTGAAATTTTCAGGGAAGCTTTCTTTTGGATGACCATAGAATATGCAATTGTTATTATTACTAAATTGATCAATGGAAACATTTTATTGAGCATTTTAGACCGCTATATAATCTATATATATAATTCTCCTCTGCGAGCCATTAGAAAAAAAACCAGCGACGCGTACCTCGCGCGCAGTGAAGCGAACGATCCCACGTTGCCACAGGCTTAGGGGCAGATAATTTACTTTGAACCGAGTTTAAAGTTACAGGAGGTAGGCCAGTTTGGGGGAGACGATATGGTCGAGTGGTTGGGCACACGATTGCTATCCCACTCGACACGGGTTCAAATCTATGTGTTCTAGTCAGTAACGTATTCACACAACGTGTTTTTTACGAGTTGTCTTTTTACGAGTTGTCTTCGTTTACCCAACAAAAAAGTGAAAAGATAAAATCGATAGCAAGATTTTAATGCAAACAAACAGACAAAGACTAAAAAGTAGAAAATAATAATCATTAAAAAAGTTTTTAAAAACCCACGTTTTCTGATTGAACTAAAAAGTAGAAAATAAATGCTATACATCACAATAATGCAAGCGATCACTCTACTATAAGCGATCAAAAACGTGGGGCGCCGTGATTTTCTTAAAGTTTCTAATACTGTTGACTCTCTACAAGCTCCCTAATAAAAGTCAATAGTATTATCTAATCAATAGTAATATAACTTTTACTTCGGCGCCCCACGTTTTTGATCGCTTATAGTAGAGTGATCGCTTGCATTATTGTGATGTATAGCATTTATTTTCTACTTTTTAGTTCAATCAGAAAACGTGGGTTTTTTAAAACTTTTTTAATGATTATTATTTACTAATAAAAATATTGACTAGATATAGATCTTCATTAACGTATTTATCAAAGGCTGCGAGGTAAAATGATAACTGTGTAGATTTGTATTTACAAGACATGGAGTATTCTGAACTCGTGTTGTTGTTATGTATTTTTACTAACAAATATATTTACTAGATGTAGATATCCTTTATTAACATTGATCTCAAAGGCTCCGAGGTAAAATGATAACTGTGATAAGTAGACGATGGTATTTTAGCGGCTCTCGAGTAGATCAACCCACCCAAAAAAAAAACCCCATTAATGGTGTATTCTGTGCATACGCACCCAGTGTTTCTTCCAGACTTTTTTCTCCGGGGGGGGCACTTGAAATTTTCGGGGGGGGGGGGGGCCGGTAGACTTTCTTCGGGGGGGCGGACACTGTTAAAAGCATATATTTTCTATATAAATTATATAATTTTCATTTCGTTCGGGGGGGGGGGGGGGCGGTAAAAAATTTTCGGGGGGGGGGGGGGGCTTAGCCCCTCCGAAGAGATGCCTGGAAGAAACTCTGTACGCACCAGACACCACATCGCATCTACGCCGGCTACAACAACGCCAGCATCCACGTGGAACTATAGATCATCGATTTCTTGTGGGACGTCAAACACTTAAAGTTATCTACCCGTCGACCTCGACTTAACTCAAGCGGTTCAGAGCACACAGAAAACGTTTCTTTCTTGCAGCAGTAGACTATCCCGAGGCCGGTAGAGAAACAGAAACTTCTTTGATAAAGTTCTGTGATATTTTTATCGCAAAGAAAAATATCACTAGCGAGAACAGAAAAAGCTATCTTGCAAGAGAATCATGTCTTGAAGCCGTCAGACGAGTTTTTGATAAAGCATTCTAGACTAGCGAGAGCATAAGAAAACTAAATTAATTTTTGTGGTAGTAGAAACATATAATTATATATAAACATGTATATCTGTTAAACATGTACTTTGGGTTATATTTGCAGACATAACATTGCTTTGATTATACTAGTAAAGCTTGTACATGAGTGAGTGCTTGAGGTTATACTTGTACAGATGACAGTGATTTAAATTTTGTCACATACATGGCATTACATAAGATATGATCTTGCAAGAATACAACTATTGGAGTTATGCTAGAATGATTCTAAGTGAAACTGACTGTTCGACAAATGCCACTTTAATGTTAGACTATGGTGTTGACGCGTGACACTGCCCTAACTCTACTACACCTACAGTGCCAGGCGACCTCTACCAGCGGTGATGAAAAATGACCACTAAGCCAAAACAAAAGGGTGATTGTAAAAATTGTAACGAAAATATTTGTTTTGGAATCCGACTGTTTGGAAAAGCATGAAACAAGTATGAAACCAATTACCATGTACGGCTCCTTGCATTTCCCTGCCCACTGGAAGGCAAATTTATAATGTAGACAAGAGAGAAACAGAGTTATCTAACATGAGTAAGGACAGAGTTATCTAACATAGTTATTTAACATTCGTATTGGCTGATCTGCTCACAGAGAATACTAATGAAGAGAAATAAGCTGTCGGCAATTGGTGAGGGGGGGGGGGGAGAGTACTTCAATAAGAATAAGCATTAAATAAAGAAAAACAACCACACTAAAATATACAAAACATACAATTTAAAGCTAATTAATGGTATTACTCAATAAGTACAATGGTTTGAATGATCTTTTGTACGTATAAGCTATTGTTTTCTTCTAAAAGCACCAAAAAGAGATACACTGCCAGTAAAATTGTAATTAAAATTAATTAAACTAAACAGCTGCGTATTTAAAGGTGGTGTTTCTAAGTGGGGGAAAACAAGATTATATAAAGCTTGTAACATGAAACACGTGGTTATGGAGATAAAATGTACTAACATGTTAGGCTATGATTTACTAAAGTGCTACAAAGAACGCCGGCAGCACGTATTGAAGATTTTGTTTCATATTATCTCTAGCATAAGCCAGGCACTAACCCTCTGGTCTTCACCCTGACTCTAATCATGACCCCAACTCTAATCATGACCCTGACTCTAATCATGACCCTGACTCTAATCATGACCCGAACTCTAATCATGACCCTGACTCTAGTCATGACCCTGACTCTAGTCATGACCCTGACTCTAATCATGACTCTAACTCTAATCATGACCCGAACTCGAATCCTGCCGTCAACTCGAATCCTGACCCGAACTCTAATCATGACCCTGACTCTAATCATGACCCCAACTCTAGTCATGACCCTGACTCTAATCATGACCCTGACTCTAATCATGACCCTGACTCTAATCATGACTCTGACTCTAATCATGACCCTGACTCTAGTCATGACCCTGACTCTAGTCATGACCCTGACTCTAATCATGACCCTGACTCTAATCATGACTCTAACTCTAATCATGACCCGAACTCGAATCCTGCCATCAACTCGAATCCTGACCCCAACTCTAATCCTGACCCCAACTCTAATCCTGACCCCAACTCTAATCCTGACCCCAACTCTAATCCTGACCCCAACTCTAATCCTGACCCCAACTCTAATCCTGACCCCAACTCTAATCCGGATCCCGTCTAATCCTGACCCCTTCTAATCCTGACCCCAAGTCTAATCCTGATCCCAACTCTAATCCTGACCCCCAATTCTAATCATGACCCCTAGTCTAACCTTAACCTCAACTCTAGTCCTAACCCGAATGTAATCCTAACCGTTATTAAATACTACCCCTAATCTAACCATATTGCATATATCAAAATCGGAGTTATAAAACTCGACAACTAAAACTACAGTCCTGCCGGCGATTTTATAAGAACCTATTTAATGTCTACAGATAGCCATAGGATGACACTGCTTTACTCCTCCGTACCATCCTCATTCTAATAACCAGAAGTATTTCAGCCGTGAAGTAGTTCTGGCTCCAAGAAAAAAAGCTTTGCCCCAAAGGTCGCAGCTATAACCAATTCACGCTGAGCCAATATCAGACAATGAATGCTAGCCGAAAACTGGCACGATCATATTGGCACCAATAACATATGGCGCGATCACCGGGTTTATCATTTCGATCGTCCCGAATGGTAGAACGGCATCACTTTTTGATACGTAATATGAGCATTTAAATACTGATGGCCGTCATTTTAAATTTTTTTTAGCTGTAAAATCTTTCTTTTTTTTATATAAACAAGGCAGGATGGTTGAATTAGTTCAGCCAAAAAAAAAATAGGTTATTCTATTTTTTTTATGATAACAACAGATAATAATTTTTAAAATTATGTTATTAATTATGTCTTTTTTTCCCCAAGTTTTTTTTTTAGACTGTAATGCAACCCAGAGTCATCCAACAGCTATCTGATTATACTGTAGTAATCAAAATAAAAATCAACAGTAGCAGCAACTGTCATAAAATACAAAACAGGAATGGATGACAAATGCCGAGTATGTCAATCAATGTGTTAGTTGTGACAGAAACACGACTCTAACGGGTCAGCGTGACCTACCTGCTGTGACCTCATCGGCATCCTTGAGGAGTTCAAGGGACAGTGTGATCAGCCCCACTTCCGTGCAGGCGTGGAGGTTACGTCTGCTCTTTTTAAGCATGGCGGTGAATACGCTCCAAATTTCAGCCTGTAAACAAAAATAATTTTTTTTTAAAATTAAAAACGATAATTTACTTATTTAAACTGATTATGTAAAAAAAAATCACCAATCAGGTACTGTGATTATTCATCTTTAATAGGGCTGGTAAGTAGGTCACCAACCAGTTCTATGGCTCATGCAGTTTTTATTGAGCCGTAGAACTGGTCAGTGACCTACTTACCAGCCCTATTATATGCATTATTTTGTATGTAAGGCGGTAGCAGGAAGTACAGAAATCTAAATGATATATGCACAATTTGTTCTAGTTAGCCAGACCATAATCTACCACTCCTACTGTAAGCTCTCGCGTGTTGAGACACAGCTGTCCTATTCATTATATGTCTATCTGTTCACTGCTCGCTCAAGCGATCGGGCCGATATGTAGAAATCAGAGGTTTGTCGCGTTTTTTTTCTTTCTGTCCTCGTGTATTTGATTCCCAACAAATATATTCATAAAGCTACGCCGCGAGATTTCTGAGTTCCAGCAATCAGATTTATTAAGATCAGACGCCGGATTTAAAATCGTTTCCAACAAACATTTTTCCAATGATATATCTTGCGGTCGGCAGATTTGATAATTTCTTACGACGTAAAGTGTGGGAAACTATATATACAACTTTTTGCTTGATTGTTCTTACATTTTAAAATCTCATAAAATATAACATTCTGTGCAGTTCATTACACTTTTTTTCCAAAAATCTTTCATCAAATGGCTTTTTAACAACAAAAAAAAAAAGAAAAAAGCTGCTGAACACAGTACTAGAGTAGAAGTGTCTAAACTATCCAAGATATATTTTTCTTTTTTTTTTTTGCCACTTAAGCATCTGATTTTTTTTTTACATTTATTGACAGAAAAAGTAGACGGAGTTATATGTCTTTTAATTAACCCCAAAGTGGCCGAGTTAAGCAAGAGTGTATGAAGTGATCCATGATTGCCTTGCGTGCAGCCAAATGTGGTTTGCGTGCTATCCCCGACTTGAGGGTTACACCAGTGGACACAGATAAGTGCTATGGAGACCGGTGGACTGACGGATGACACCCACTGATTGCTGGTAGACGTCGTGTAACAGACATGCACAGTTTCTCTATTCATTTGTACCAGTAGACGGGAACAAATCAAAACAAGATCAAAATAAAGCACTTGCTAACTCAGACTTAGTGGGATAGGGGTCAAGTAAAATAGCAAATCTTTTGTATCTATACCATCTCCTGACCAATTTAATGTTGGTATAATTGCTATTCTTTTTAAAACGAACACCATAAAATACTTGTTTTTTTTTTCTTAAACTATAACAGTCAATGAGTTATTAACGAAAGCATAGAGAATAAAATCATGTCAAAATAGCTTGTGTTTGTTTGGCTCTATGGTATGTGACAGGCATCCAGGGGAAATACATTAATAAACAATAGCTCAAGATGAATTTCAAATTGCGACTAAATCTAGCAATATATTGCTTGTACAAGAGAAAAATGTGTTTATGATCTTTGGGGAGAAAGCCATTACACGCAAAAGAAAATTATTTGGGCATGTATCAAAATCTAGGGTTTAACACACGTATAAGGTTTTCGCTTATTTGCGTTTATTTCCAATATCAATCGAGACACAGAAGAATAACTATTGTCAAGACAGAACAGTGTGGCCTGGCATGACCCAAGCCAACAACTCCACGCCAGCACCGATTTTCCTTGCATTTAACCATCGAGCTGCTATCAAAACACTCCACTAAAACACAGGTTCCCAAACTTTTTCTAGTGGCAACCCCTTTTCATAAAAGCTAAGTGACCCGCGATCCCAAACAGTTAAAAACGAATTTTTACAATGAAAAATAAATTAATGGACCCAATGAGTGGGGTCGCGAGGCCCATAGATTGGGAACCCGTACAATAGAGCTTGAGCTACGCCCATGTCTAGGTGATGGTATGTGGGCAATAACATTATTTTTTTACTATAGCGACTTCCAGATCCAGTGTGTCTATTTCATAGTAGAATTAGAAGATCAAGTTAATCTTGATCCAGATCCATGAACAAGGTGTCTTATATTGGATTTAGCAGAGCAAATGTCACCTTTAATCAAGAACTGTTTTTGAACATTGTGTTTATAAGCAAAGTATTGAACATTAGTATCTTATTGAACATAATCACCTTATAAACAATCGTATAGATTATTATTTTCTCAAGAATTTACGGACAACTGTGAAACCCAAAGCAGAATATTGTAAACTTAACTAATAGAAACATTTTGTAAATGCCAGTGAGCGAGACCAACAAAAAGCATGGGAAAACATGATTCATCGCTCACACAATCCTTCCGTTGGCCAGGTGTTCTTTTTCTATACAGAGTTCATACTAAATACAATATAAATATATATAATATACCCAAAGTACAGTCCGTTACATGTTTTAATGCCTGTTTCTACCCCACCCACTGCTCTGCGAGAATCCAATGTAACTTTACCAGCGCGAGTGATCTGCTGATGACCAATTGTTTGCCCCCCTTAATAGAGCCACCATAGATCGACACGGCAAATGCCAATGACTTCCTTAAACGCCGTCAGTGTAAATGACGGGGATGAACCATTTCCACCGCGGCACACCCGCGGCTGTTCAACAAGAGATTGAACATGGGATCAACTGTTACATGGGCATTGATTGAAATGTCGGCCCCGGCTTTCTTTGTGGGAAACTGTTTTTTAAAGGACATGGCAGATTGTTTGCTTTTAAATTTAAGATGAAAGGACAAGTTTAACACGTTTTAAACAGATTGTACCGGTTTTTCTTTTTCTTGTTTTTTTTTTTTTTTGAGCAAATAACACGATTGTTTTAAAACGCAGAGAAAAATGTGTAGCATTTTTAAATATATTGCGTCTATCTTTTAATGAATGTTTGTTGTTTTGAAAAAAATAAAACAAAAATGCGAAAATAAATTTGTTTTAACTCTTCTACACTCGCGCATCGAATTGTGAACAGATTGTTCTCTATCGAAGGTTGCATTAATTTTTTTTTCGCTATTCCAATGCGAATCTAAAAAGTTGAGCACAAGGTTCATGATTCTGAGAATTTTGATCATCGTATAAGTAGATCTAGCCTAGGTGAAAAGCAGTTGTTTTTTCTTATCGTTCAGAATATCATTTTCTTTTCTTTAAGTGTGGTGATTGGAAAACATAACTGTACGAAAATATATAATGGGCCTGCTTGGTCGGAACATTATAATTAATTTTATTAAACCGGTTTTTAATTTTAAGCATTTTCACGTTAATCTACGTATATCAGATTCATGGAGAGAAAGGAAGCATTTCCATGACTGTATGCATGTCTCAGCTTCATGAAAAACTTGATGTAATTAAATGAAATATATTTGATCGTGTTAAAGCTGAAAATTTCCTCCACTGACTAATACCAGAAACGACCTTCTGGGAAGAAATAAACCTGAAATTGAACGGCCTGTGTGGAGAAGGAAATAATTGGGCAGCCGACAGCACCATGTGAAGAATACACAGGCTCCGGGGCATGACAGGATTCTTTAATCCGCCTACATAATCTCTAGCACGGATCTAGGGGAGGCAATGAAGATCAGATTGTCGCCCATCAACCAACAGGAAGACCCTCTCATTTTATTTAAGCTACAAGAAGACAATTCAACAAGCCAACGACTACACTGACTGACATCCCCTTGCCAAAGTATACAATATTGCTAAATATTTAAGATATTAGAGCATTTTAAACGGCCAAATGAACTATATTTATAAACGCTTTTCAATCATGTTATTGTATTCAAGCCAGTTAGTTTTACAGGAAAACAACTATCAAAATAGGCCGTATTTTTCAATCAACATTCTTGGTGATTACTCTCTTAAAGATGCTTACTTATTTTAATACACGTGAAGGCGATTTAAAAGGTGACTACGTTGCAAATTATTTAATTAGTTAAGAGAGAACAATACATTCTTGATACGTTAAAATAGCAAACCAAAATTTGAAATATCTCTAAAAAAAAATTCTTTTTAAGAAAAAAAAATATAAGTGTGTTAAATTATTTCTACAAAAACCATGAACATCAAATTTCAAATAGATCCCGAGGCAAGAAATGTCATTTTCTTTTCTTTTTTTTTTTAACCAAGGAAAAAAAACCTCCCCCTTAAGCTAACATGAAACCCCCATTTTATCTTTGAAATAATTCTACACTGAACGTAAGGGTTAATCCGATCTGAATTTCCTGTGTTGGGGCCACGGGGGCTGCTGTGATGGCCAGATACCCAGCAGGCACCAGACACGTTAATAAACGGTCACCTTACCGGACTTTTATTACCTAAGACTTTAGACTTTATGTTACTCATTAAGCAGCCCGAACCCCACTCCTCCCCCAGCTGTGGACGAGTTTCTTTTTTTTTCTTAAACCTGTGATACAAATACGATCAAGCGTCTTATGATCAATACCAAGTCTCCGGCTGTCTCCTGGCGGAACCTTTCCACGTGCGTTCACAGACAGCGGTCCATCGAAATCTCACTCGGACGTTAAAGGAGTAATGGAAGATCCGGAGGGTGGGGGCCGGGCGCTCCAATGTAGACTCAACAAAAATAATTACCACAGAGAAGTCTTTTGAAGCTTTGTTTAGGTCCCATATAGGACTCAACAAAAATAACTACCACAGAAGGCTTTTGAATCTTTGTTTAGGTCCCATATAGGACTCAACAAAAATAATTACCACAGAGAAGGCTTTTGAAGCTTTGTTTAGGTCCCATATAGGACTCAACAAAAATAACTACCACAGAGAAGGCTTTTGAAGCTTTGTTTAGGTCCCATATAGGACTCAACAAAAATAATTACCACAGAGAAGGCTTTTGAATCTTTGTTTAGGTCCAATATAGGACTCAACAAAAATAGTTACCACAGAGAAGGCTTTTGAAGCTTTGTTTAGGTCCCATATAGGACTCAACAAAAATAACTACCACAGAGAAGTCTTTTGAAGCTTTGTTTAGGTCCCATATA